ACCTTGTATTTTGGAGATGGACGTCGTTTTCGGTCGGCCAAACTCTTCATGCGGGTCGCACTTCTCTGCAGCATCTGGCGAACTCCCTTCCATACCCGGCGACAGCGGCGAACCAGAGCATGTGCTGATGGTACGGTAACTTCCTGCTCGAGCTCCGGGAACAATGGAGGCTGGTATCCATGGACACATTGGAAAGGAGAGATTCCGGTGGCTGATGTGGGTAAGGTATTGTGAGCATACTCAACCCAAATCAGATGTTTGCTCCAGGTGGTAGGTTTCTGGGACACCAGGCATCTCAGACATGTCTCCATTTCCTGATTCATCCTCTCCGCTTGGCCGTTTGACTGGGGATGGTATCCGGATGTCAGGCTCACAGTGGCTTGGATCAGGCGACAAAACTCCCTCCAGAAACGTGAAACGAATTGTGGGCCTCGGTCTGAAACGACATCACTTGGGAAACCATGTATACGAAAAACATGGTACAACATGGCCTGTGACTTGTGAATCTTCAGGCAGAAAATATGAAAACACCTGTTCAAAGTTCCAGTTTCCCGTACATCGAACCATGCCTGTATGGGACTCTGTTCCACATGTCTTCAGTCAGTTCTGGACCCTATGACTCGGACACTAGTTCTACCAAGGCTTATTAGAGGTATGCAGTGGTAGGAGAGTGGAGTTATCTTTGTATTTAGGCTGCAAGTCGACAAAGGTGATCAAATGCTGATGCTAATAAAGATTCAAGTCATTTGATATTGATTGTCTGCCAATACCGAATCCTGATCCGATTCTTCTATTTCCCAGATAATACAGCTGCATCGTGTACACTACACTAGCTTTATTGGTTTTGGCCATTGTAATTTACCATAAGCAATTGTTGACTGTAACGTCTATGTATTTTTGTATTTTACTATACTTTTAACGATCAAGTTCCGGCAACCACAGCTGCCCGAATTTTAACGTAAATTTGAAGTTGTTTTTTTTGACAGTGTTCTTATATCTGTACATTTATTTTCAGTTTGCTTCAAGAAGTGGCTTCAACAGACAGCAATGCAGGCCAGATTGGGAAAGGCTGGACGCTACACAATGGAAAAATGATGGACATAAACAAGAAAAAACACTTGTAATTTCTTTATTGCCTTTTCTTATCATACATATTGTTACTGCAGTAACAATTGTTATTATTTTCAGAATAAAGCAGCTTTAAATTAGAACAGTGTATTCATTTTAAGTTACGCCATATAAATATTGATTTTATTCCTTACACATTACAATTAGCGCTGTTAGATAGCTAGCTAGCAACAGTCTTTTGCAGTCATTACAGACTGTTAATTAATCATACAAATTAAACGCTGGCTTCTTTACCACACCATTATAATGTTACGTTATTAAATAGTGATACAAAATCATAAACCTTCTATTTGTATAATGTTCTGTTCATCTGAGTTATTTAGCCAAGATGGCAATTGTTGAGTGTGAGAACTGTCCAATGTTCCACACTCAACCTTTTGACTGTTGTGAATACACCATCTGAGTACTCGTAGTGCTGACAGCCAAACATTTAGTTTATAAACCACAGTTATTGTATCTGATGACAATTGCCCTGAACAAAGTCTGCACATTTTGATACAATTGAATTGCTTCTGAGGAAAGTAAATAACCATGCTGCTGTGTTATCACGGGATCTTCAGAGCTCATGGGGTCACTGTGTCAAAGGTAAAGAGACTGCTGAGTTTATTTCTGATAGTGCATCCTATTGGTGGTATAGGTAGGACCAAAACTTAGACTTAGGTTTGTTTTCAATAAACCTCTGAAAGACCCCTGTTCCTTGGGCACCAATGAAAATGGGTATTCTTCTTTTCACAACACTATCTACACAATGGATAAATGATTAGATATAAAAGAAGAGTGCTTCAATGATAGGGGCTGATCGTTGACCTTTCAGAGCTTCGAGGAATTTATAAATTGATGGAGCAAAAACAATTCATAGGAACTTATTGATCCAGACAAAATAATTATGCAAGGTTAGGAAAAACACCTTGACATTGATAATAATTTATTAGAATGAGAACAAAACCTGAAAATCTCTTCAGCTTGTGTTAACCACACATATTTTTTCTGGAATCTCCAAACGATGAAACTAAGTGCTGACTCATTCCCGCACCACTTTATAAAAGGGTTCCACAAAGAAGTGCATTTACCGAAAACAAACTTGTGTTTTCATGTGTGGTCGTTATCACCTGTCCTTTATCTGCTGTGTAAGAAGCCATGATGGCTACTCCACACGTGATCAGGAACTGAAACAGCAGCAGGGATTGATCCTGGATCGGCTCTGAGCTAAAGACTCAGGAATGTTCCTGCTGTAGACAGAAGGGAATGCAGATTTATCAGAAGTGTGTTTACTCTGTCTGCAACGTCATGGAGTTGTTGTTGTTTTTGTTGTCATCCTCGGCCACGTTGTCCAAGTGACTCAGCTGATTCTGTGATTAGTTTGGAAGCAGGAGAAGCCGTTATACAAATCATTTTTCTACATGAAATCACTGTATATCTATTTCAATATATTTAGGACCATGTAAAAGTGAAAGTGCACAACATGGACCAATAGTCGCATTTATAGCCATTTTTTCTTATTAAATTCTTATACCTTTCTGTAAGAGCAAAATATATGAGGCGTTTAAAGATGAGATACTATTTAAATCTCTTTAGCTCTCTTCTATTTTTCAATGTAATTTTATAACGTGTTACCGCTGGACTATCTCTTAATGCTCTTAACGTTTTTTATTTTTGAAAAGCACTTTGAGTTGCCTTGTGTTGAAAGGTGCTATATAAATAAACTTGCCTTTCCTTGCCTTCATCTGAGCAGAATGATCTCCGTATTTCCTGTAATCCTCCTACAGTCTGCATGGCAACCAGGCTGAAGCTCAGGTATGTTTATCAGCTGTCCATATCACAGTACATGTTCTTCAGATCTGCTCAACTCTCCTTGTATAAGCATATTTTTTCCAGAGCTTCTCAATGCAAAATATGATTATGAGAATTCCACCCTCTTATAAGAACCACAAACGGCAGCCTGCAGCAACTGGTGGAGTAAAAGGTTAAATAGATATTATTGATATTATTCAGACTTCTCCAGAAAATTCATTTGTAGATCAGATCTTAAAAATAGAAAACAAACATCCTCAAACAAAGGATCATTGCTCATTACAGCTGAAGGGGGATCTTTCCACTGCCTTTCAGGCTTGGAGGGGAATAGACTGGAAGATATTAAAACATGTTATCTCTATATTTTTGAATGTTTGTTTGAATTTTTTTTTCTTTTAACAATAAAATATTGTGTTAATCCCAATTTATCGGAATATGAGTTAAACATTTATCAGTATTTTGTAGGCAAGGATGCAGGAGAAATTCACACACAGCGCAAATCTCATTAAACATTCAAAAATAAAATATATATTTAATCAAATGTGTCCATTCTGTTTTGCATGTTTTTTTGTGAATATTGCTTTAACAGAGAGGAACGATTTCACTTGAAGTGTGTCTCCTCCTCCCTCCTGCCTGGGGTCAGTTTGTTTGTTCAAGGGTTTAATATTTAGCTCACCGACACACAGACACACACACACACTTTTTTTTCTAACTAGATGACTACCTTTGCTTTCAGACCTTTTAACACACACGGACTGATTTAACAGACCAGCTGATTTAAAAAACTGTTAGCTATTATCAGGTATTTGAAGAGACTACCTTAATGTTAGAGAGAACTGCAACACACCATATCTGTCTGTCTTTTAATTTGTTTATTTGAACAGTTAGAGGTTGTACTCAAACTGATTCATCCTCAGCAGCCTTCTTCTCTGAGCGCTTGGATAATAGAGATGGGACCACGTACAGCAGGTAAGAACTGCTTGAGGTTGACTCTTTAACCTCAGATATCAACAAATAATGTATTATAGGTCAAGGGTCGAAGCTTGTGTCGTCAAATGTCATTAAATTAAATGTAAGTCAACATTTCACTTCTTTCAGTGTATAATGCAATTGCTCATTAAAATAACTGACATCTTTCATTTTGCTTTCATAATTTATCATGTCTGTTGGTTCCAACTCAAAAATATATAAATGACAAGTTCATGGTTAGAGACGTGCTAAGTTGATTCTTAGTTTAGGTAATACAATAAAATAGCCAAACGAAAGGATAGGATTTAGGTTTGCATTAATTATCATTTAACATACTAAACTATTTTAGGAAATGATTTTGGTCATGTAAACTCAGATACAGTAACCATGGTTACAAGAGGAAGTAGTGGATCCATTATTATCATGAACAGGAAGTGTCACTGTTTCATCTAACAGTAAAGAATAACTGTATCATGTTGTTGTCAATTTATCATCAGGGTGTGAGGCGGTCTTCCCTGAGTCACTGTGTCATTATATCAGAAAACAATATGTGTGTGTGTGTGTGTGTGTGTGTGTGTGTGTGTGTGTGTGTGTGTGTGTGTGTGTGTGTGTGTGTGTGTGTGTGTGTGTGTGTGTGTGTGTGTGTGTGTGTGTGTGTGTGTGTGTGTGTGTGTGTGCGTGTGTGAGTGTGATAGTTACACAGAACATATTGGCTATCCCTCGGGAGACACATCCCTTCTCAGTTGCTCTCTGTGATTATTTTTGTCCTTATCTAAATTGAGGTTTTAAAGACAGGCGGGGATCAAATACAAATGTAAGAGTAAATAAACAAATCAAAAAAAACACATACAATTAAATAAGGATGAGAAGACCCACAGCCTGAGTAGACTGATGCAGATCATAGCAGTTTGGGTGCATTTTAGCCACACATCTTTCCATCATCGAGCAAAAAGGGTCAATGTTCCCCCTCTGTTTATCTTTCATATCAATGCTTTAAGGAAGCGTTGGTGGTTATCAAAGCATGTTTGAACAGAAACACAATTGATGTAAAAAAATTGAGGAAGTTAAACTCAAAACTGGGGCAGGTTGGAATCTGATTATTAACTAATCACTGAGCTTTCACCACTATAATGAACCTTTCCTCTCCATCAGAATCAGCTTCTAAGGAGGTGAAGACGGCTTCAGGAGGAAGATATGGAGGTCAGGGAGTGGCCCGGCAGAGGAGCTGCAGTGACGGAAGCAACTACAGCAGGAGAGGCCTCCCCAACAACTCGTCCTCCTCCCCGGTGCTCTACAACCCCAAATCAGGTAAAACATTTAACAATGGATCGATTTAGCAGCTTGGGGGGCAGTCTATAGCGTTGTATCTGGACCCAATGGGTTTGTGCGTAGTTAACTCTACACTATGTGACTCTGTGACATTGTATGACATGACATAGCGTTGCTGTTACCTGATAAGGTTTATAAAAAGATCACGGTTGGTGTTTAAATTGGGTGGTGCAGTGATGATGTGTTTTTGTAGGACGACCAGGAAGTAAGCATCAAATGGGCTCCCTCAAAAAAAGCAAGGGGATTTTCCCATGGATTTTGCAATATTGAAGAAAATAAGATCTGGACCAAACACATTTATGATACTTACTTGTTTTGTTAAGCAGGATTATCTCCACATATTAACACCACTTGTGGTGGCGTTTTCATCCTTGTCTACAATTTAATAGCCACCTCTATCGGGGTTGTGGGTTCTGACGCGACTCTCTTTGTTTCCAAACAAATTAACGGAGAAAGTGGTTGAATCAGATGAGCTTTATTCGTTAGTCCAGACGGCCTGTAAACAACAGGACACATTTCTTCGCTTCATACTAAATAAAGGTTAACAGTCTCCAAAAGAACAAAAAGAACACGGTCAAAATACTTTTCCGCTTCCCCGTCTCATCACCCTCAGCTGTGTCCTATCAACCTACCATATATAGGCATATAGCCATGCACGTGATACTGACGCGCATATTATAAGAAATAAGTGAGCCTTAAATTAATACATTTTAAACCATAGTGTGACTCACAAAAATACCTGATAATTAAGAGTTTAATCTAATTCATATTATTATTAATCCTAACATTCAGACAATAATAACAAAAGGAAAATGGCTCTAACACCACTTGTATTATGTTTAAAGGGTAAATACTAGAAGTAGAAAGCTAAGGTTAGGCTATAAACAAACCACAACACGAGGACCACCGCTAAGCTAATGGTGGCTATTGTTTGGCGGGAACCGGAAGTACTAAAATGCTAACTCATTTCTAAAATGTAGTTACTATTCCTGTACAACTCTATAAGCTATGGACGTAACGTCTCATGACTCAGTGACGTAGCATACATGATGTCAGCCACATGACATAACCTGGTCAGTCAAATTAGGTCAGAAGTAGGTTTCACACAGGACACATCCCTTAGTTAAAAGTCCTGTGTTCGATAACCCATACACCATGAGTTTTGAAAAGGTTATAAAATCAAAAATAATGGGGAAAAAAATGTCTGCCTAGTTTTTGAAAAGTTGAAAAGATATATATCCATTTTCCCGTTTTTACTTTTGTTTCATGTGTAGTCCTGAAGAGACCAGTAAGCACAGAAGAGCTGCAGACACCAGGAGGACCCTACATCAAGAAAACGTTTACAGTATGTTCTCAATTGACCTTCTTTTAAAAGTTTAAGGGGGGAACATCTTTAAAATCAGAAGGGATGAAAGATTGTAACAAAAAGGAAAAGTAAAGTCCCCAGGATGCACATTAATGTTAACATCATATTTTAGTTGTACAAGCTCAAATCTTGGCATCTGTTATTTAGCAACAGCCTTTCTTTGGGGCTATCTTAGTCCTTGCCTTCTGATTATTTATGTCTGATTGACCTCTGTGTGTCTTCAGATCGTGGGCGATGCAGTGGGTTGGGGGTTTGTGGTGAGAGGAAACAGGCCGTGTCACATCCAGGCTGTGGAGCCCAGCGGCCCAGCTGCTGCTGCTGGGATGAAGGTAGGCTATTCCCGTGTTTTATACCAAGGCCCCAGGTTTTGTTAAAAGACATTAGCTGAATTTTCAACATAAAGTTAGGGGTTTCCTATTTATTACAGTAATTTGTTTGGAAGTGACATCTAGTGGCCAGTAAAGAAACTGCAGATTCTTTCTTTTACATTTATCAAAGTACGCTATGTTTTTTATGAGCATCTCATTTAATCCTTCAAATAGCATGCCTTTTTCAAAATATGGCCTTCTCGAATGACACTTAGTGGGGAGATTGTTAAGATGATGTTCCGCAAATATAACATTAACAACTTCCGCCTCTGTTTTTTAATGATGAACCGAGACAACCGCCACCTGGGTCATTCCAGAATTGTCTTGAGACAAGATACATATAAAGTTGTAGAAAAAGTGGTTTCAAAATATTATTTAAAATATCAAATAGCTCTCGAACACCCCCTAAAATTGCCCTTTTCTCTTGTCCCAGCTTCTTGGTGACCAACTTGCATGTCAAATATAACATTTAAAATAGGGTTTTTATTTACTTTTTTTTTTATTATTCTATTGATATATGTGTCTTGTAATGGTAAAATCAATTTGTTAAATCATAAACACATTTTAAATAACATTAATTTTGCACAGAAGGTGTGTCCCTCAACATGCGCACAACCCTGTTAGGAAACCTTTTTAGCTTGGCAGAGGAAGTGAAAAAACTGTTTGTCGCATGACACAGTGGAAAGGACATCAGCAAGCCATGTGCTACTACCATGGGTAGACCAAAACTAAGTCCTCTCTTTTATTTGTAATATATTTCCAATCTTGTCACTCTTGAAGGAGTGTGGCACTCATACAAACGCAACCCTGTTACTCACATTATGAGACTAAAACAAATTAATTTCAAATGTATCTTTCTTTAGTTAAATATCTAAGTGTGTCCATTCCTTGACAATAGCATTACATTGTGCAGCTAGCATTAATTCCTGAGGTAAAAGCTCAAATTAGCATTGATTTTCAACCCTGTTACTATAATTAGAGTAACAGGGTTAATTCTTCATTGGAAAATATACATTTGATGCCTTAGCTGGGCAAATCACTTTTTTTGATGGTTTATTATCTGTTTTTCCTAAATACATAACAAAAAATAATCAAATGAAAGGTTCATTTTTCAAAAATGTTGGTGTCTAAATTGTCCTCCAATTCTGGAATGACCCACCTGCTGTTATGGAGTAATCTCCTCTCATGGAAGTGCAGAGCATACATGCTAGTTTGCCATTGGTTGATGTCTTTGCAGTGTGCTCAAGTGCAAACAGAAAGGCTAATTTGTGCAACACAATGGACAGCATCCACTGTTGCTAGCTCTGATATTGGTTCAGGTTTGTCTGGGCCTTAACAGCGAATTTGTCATTGACTCCCTTATTAATTCCCTTCTCACTTCTATATCTGCTTCCCTTTTCTTCTTCCCCTGCAGGTTTGTCAGTTTGTGGTTGCGGTCAACGGACTCAATGTTCTCGATCTGGACTACCGGACTGTCAGCAACCTGATTCTAACGGGACCCAAAACTGTGGTGATGGAGGTGATGGAAGAGATGGACCACTGAGCAATGGAAGAAACACTGATCTGTTGACAGTACACTGGAAGATGAGCTGGCTTTTATGAAAAAAGTTACGAATACATGTGTCCTAACTGAGGTTTCTTCAAAGGACTGCAAGAACACAGTGATGAAACAGGAGATAACCTTGTCAGGTATTGTTGTGTATTAGTAGGATACAACAGGTATTACATGGGAAACATTATGTCTTTAGATAAGTGTTGAACTGATAGAGAGCATGTTGTTTACAGAATGATTGGCTGAAGATATAACTGAAAGAGCAACACAATGTTGAATCGCAGCTACATCATCTGAAAAGAATGCTTGGTACGTTTTGAAAGCGTTGTAAAGTCGCCAAAAATAATTAATCAGTTTTTAAAAGTCTCTCAGAAAAGAATCTGGCAAGATAAACTGTCAATACTGTCTTGTAATACTGTGCAGCAGATTGTTGATTTGTTTTCTCAACAACGTGTGGAGTTTGGGGTCACAAACATGTTGGGAGAGGTGCAATGAGTAATGGTGCACGGGTAAATCTGAGACAAGCAGCCTGCTGAATGTTGGAGCCAATGCTGATTGGAAATATCCAAACATTATAACTAATCAGTTTGAAGAAATTTGTTTCCACTTTCTTGCCCATTTAGACATACTGTACAAAAGCAACCATTGAAAGACATGTATAAATAAGAGGGGCATCATGTGACTGTTCTTGTGGGCTCGATGCAGAAGTCATGGCTAATAGACGCTGTCAGGAAGTAAAATAAAATATGTTGAAGTGAATGGGAACTCCCCCAATTTGAATTTGAAATATATTCTCTCGTCTGTGTTTACTAAAGGGAGATTGTGCAGGATTTGGCGACATCTAGCGAGTTGCAGTTGGAGATTGCAGCCAACTGAATGCCCATCAATTCACCCTTACCTTTACAAGACTACAGTAGCCATGAGCCAAAGAGGGAAACATGTTATCCGTGCTCTGAGGCCTTCCTTACCATAACAAACTTAAGAACCAACATAATCCATGCAACAGGCTGGCATTACCACAGTTTACATTACATGATATTACCTTAGATGTCATTTCGCTGACTCTTTTATCCAAAGACACTTACATACAATACCATAGAGCAATTTGGGCTAAAGTATCTTGTTCACAGACACCTCGACATAGTGACTACAATGGCTGGGGATTGAACCACTGACCGATACCACTCTGATTGGTACATGTAGATTCCCTCCCTATAAAGCACAGTTGCCTTTAATTAACAAAAAAACACGAAAGCCCCTCTCCAAAACCAAATATTAGTTTGTCACTTTTTGGCTACTGTAGAAACAGGATGTGCAGCATATTAAACTTGTGGAGGACAGATGTAGATATGAAGGACTCATTCTCAACTAACACACAACCATTCTTATATTCAGCTGGTTAAACACTAATACTTCTAATAGTTTACTAATAATGTAGTTATGAATATATAAGTTCCTCTCTGCTAATAAATCTCTGTACATATTACCCACATGCCCTTTACATTGACATCCATTTCTGCTTTCAAGGCTTGAAGGACTTGTGTTCTGACAGAGACAAAACATGTGCATGACCATGATAGGAGAAAAAAGTAATATATTTGTAGGAAAGTGCTTAATTTAAGGTGTGTTGAGACACACCTGCATGTTGTTGTCTTAGAAAGTGACCCTGGAAGTGATCATGCTATTGACATCTCTCCATCAGTTAGTGTTTCCTTCATCTGGGGGGTTTGGACTTTTAACCCCGTGTGCCACCTCACTGCCTCCTCCACACACAAACACATCACCTGCATGTATCACAGCAGCATTTATACACTCCCCCAGTCCCTCCCTAAACTGTGTTGACTTTTCCATCCACCTCCTGCGACGTCTGATTCCCAGAAAGGAAGTGAGGAGTGTGAAGAGTGTGTGAGGTGGATCAACAACTTGGTGAGGAAGCAGGCTTAAACTGAAGTGCTTTGTTTTAAAGATTCCTTCATTTATTCTGTTTTTTTAGACCTGTGTGTGTGTGTGTGTGTGTGTGTGTGTGTGTGTGTGTGTGTTTGTGTGTGTGTGTGTGTGTGTGTGTGTGTGTGTGTGTGTGTGTGTGTGTGTGTGTGTGTGTGTGTGTGTGTGTGTGTGTGTGTGTGTGGTGTGTGTGTGTGTGTGTGTGTGTGTTGGCAGCGTTTATCTCTCTGCAGGGTGTAGAGTCTCTTGCATCTTTAATAATGATTGTCATGGAGGCAATCAGTAGAATCATTGTTGGATATTGTTTTAAAATACCCAGTACTGAGGATTTTATAAAGAAACTAATTAACTACAAGCACACAATAGGTGCTTTCACCGGAGTTTCCTGGGAGAAAAGGGTTCCCATTTCTGATTGGCTGGGCGAATTGCAAACCACGCCCTGTAAAACTCCGAAAAGTTTGTGAAGCCGCCATTGTATTTGCTGGCATTATTAGCATTAGCCCAGCCCACCAACGGAGAGAGACTAACTTATGGCAACACAAAAGAAAACATGGGAGCGGTGGAGATGAGGAGGTGTCGGCGTTCTGGCGATTTACTCGGAAGGCTTCAGTAGAAGCTGCTGGGAGTCCCAGCAGCTTCTACTGAAGCCAGTCCCTAACTCCGGGGACTTCCGGCCGGGGACTCCGGGTGGCAGTATACACCGTGAAGTTGTTTGCGGCCTGCCAGTAAACCCAAAGCAGAAGAAGACGAAGTGACGTCAGCGGCTTCATTTGCCTAATCCTCCCTCAGGGACTTATTCCGGTGTGAAGTTCCGGGAACTAAAGAGTTCCGATGAACTAAGCACTGGGAACTAAGTACGGCAAAGTACTTGGTGTGAAAGCGCCAATTAATAATCTTGTAAGTATTAACCTTTTGTGACATGCTTTCTTTTGATATATTTAGGTTTATTTAGTTTTTTCACCTGTGAATTCATTTGATTTTGATTTGGAACTTTACACTGTAGTTCTCCAAAAATCCTAAATAAAGAGACTTTTTACAGCATTTATCGTCATTTCCGTCGGGTTTGATATGATTTAGCTGAAACATTTTGCTAAAATACAACTTACATGTACAGTTAATAAAATACCTCATAAATATTGTCTGGATTATCAAACAAAGAATTCTCAATCAGAATATCAATTAAAAAACAATCAAATAATGAGTAAATAATATAAAGGCCTTCTGCCATTGGAAATGGCTGCTTTGCCTTTAAGCAGGACTAAGTGTTTCAATACAGAATGCAGGTTGTTATCTATATCAGATTGTATTGTAGGGATTACGAGTCAGAAAGAGACAATAGGGGAAGGGAATAGGAAGTAGTGATACATGAAGTGTACAGAAAAGAGAACTAGCTAATAAAACTAATACAACTAATTTAAATCAATATTACTTATTTATTTACCAAAACAACATTTTGTTAAACTAATGAAAAAACAGCAAAGTATTCAAAGCAAATGTTAAAACATTCCCTAACAATCCCTGCCTATTCCATGAACCTTGAAACACCGGATTTCCACAAAGAACATCAATGCTCTTATAATTAGCCAGTAGATCTGTGGATGCAGATGATGTAGTAAAGAGAGCTACACTATTGCATTTTCTAAGAAATCAGAGGATTCTTACAGGGACAAAGAAACATTTGAAGAAAATAACAGCCCTTGAAACATTTCTCACACAGACAGGGTACCTGGGGAATATGGGGATGCTTCTGTTTATGCTTCAATATGGTTGGCTTAACCCTCCTGTTATCCTCAGATTTACTTTACACCCTTTATCCTCGGGCGTCAATTTGACCCCAGTAGTTTAAAACTCAAGACAATGATCATATTCCAAATTTTAACCAAAATGTATGTCTCTGGTGCTTTAGGTATCTTAGTCGACTACCTAAATAACCATTTAAATCAAACATTACCCCAACCTTCCCCCCCACAGACCCCTTTATACATCCAGAATTCCTATTATGTGACTATCAACAAATATATAAATCACCATAAAATCTCACTGACTGAAATAAAATGTTAAAGTAAGATCTTTTTGATGTTGTTAAAGGACCAATAACTAAAGCAGAGGGTAGTTTTGTTTTACAATGATACATTTGCAATAGTCACCTCAATATCATCCTACACAATCAACACAAATATGTGTAAAATATTGACATTTGTATATGTTTTATACTACTAAAACAGCAAATTGACCCCAAGGATAACAGGAGGGTTAATCATATGAACTTTGCATACTTAAAGAAAATATGCAAGATCAAAAATGGGAAAGTCTCTAAAATAACTTTCAGTGTTACTATACTTTAAGATGTTTTAGAAAACAGTGGTAACAGGACTAGAGACAGGCATGTAACTTTGCCAGGAATCCAAGCAAATAACTGGTAGTAGGAGCACAGAAGAAGACTATATACTATATACTATATACCATTTGATATAGAGCTGGTATAGCTACTAAAGTAGATGAATGTGGAGGCAAAAGAGCCATTTGCCTGTACATTACGCAACAATTAATATATATGCAGGACAGACAGTATAGAGCCACAAGTGCATTGGAGGACCCTTTCGAGTCAGATGAGTTTATCCATGTAATAAGAAACCATGGATGCACCCATGTGTCGCTTTAAGCTTACCATTTTCACTGTTCCTGGATCAGATTCCACATGCCGGGCTGCTTTTAACCTGCATTGACTGATTTATGGCCACTTGGGCGCAGCAGAGACAAGCTGAAACACAACATGCACATTTAACCCTTTTAGTTGTTGAGAGGGAGTAAACCTTAAATTACAGAAAAAAGGCAAACAAGACCAGAGTGGATATGAATGAATGATTGTGCAATAAAGAGATGTTTCCTTTTACTATGCCAAACATAATATCAACTTGTGAAACAAGTGTAAATCTTCGGCTCAGTGGTTTGAACTTGGCCCTCCCCGGAAACGTTCAGTCTTCCAAAAAAAGACAGAAAGGGAGAAGATCACTATCATTACAGGGGCAGGTCAATCGGACGAGAGCACCTGAATGTGCAGTTGCATTCACTTTCAGGTTACAATACTTCCCCTCAGTTTATCTTTCCATCTCTGAACATTGCTGATCACTTCACATCAATCCTGGCGTCTCTCTCTCCTCTCCAAATGTCATAGGGAGAACTAGGACAGGAGGAATTCCTGAAAATTCCAAGGGATTTAATAGAATTCCAGGTGATTGGCTTTTGACTTGCAGCTTGTAGAGACACATTCAACAAAAACAGACACCCACTGTGGAAAGCTTTAACATGACCGTGTGCAGCGATACACTATGGATTTGTTTGCTTCATGTGTGATGCAGGTATTATACAGTATACTGTAAAAGATGGATTTGAACATGAGCTTTATGGAATGATTTCTATCATTAACTTTATTGAAACCAAACAAAATTTAAAAAGAAAACATCCAATTAGGATTCTTGAAGTAAATATCACAAGGAGGCCATGAACCAACTGGAGACCTACTGAAACAACTTTAGAAACTAGAATGGAACTCGCAGAATGAAGACCTCGGCCAAGGCCAATGCTGCCATCACATGCTTTTGCATTGGACGGTCCCATTTCACTAGTTGGGATGTGATTTTCCTGACTTCATTGTGGTTATTATGTTAAAGTCATTATATGTAAACATCTTTTGTGCTATAAAAGAAGATGTGTTGTAGTTGGTCAGTTTAAACAACTTTTTTACAGCTGTGTCAGAGTAGTTGTTCTGATTCCTGGAATTATCCCCTTCGGAAACCTTTTTTGC